ATTGACGTAGACGCCATAATTATAGATCCACACACGAACCTTGGAAATAAGGAGAATTATCACCCAAACATGCCTAGTATACCAATGTACTCTTTTACCCATGTATCGCACTTTTCTTAGATCCACACACGAACCTTGGAAATAAGGAGAATTATCACCCAAACATGCCTAGTATACCAATGTACTCTTTTACCCATGTATCGCACTTTTCTTAGATCCATACACGAGCCTATTAAATAAGGAGAATTATCACCCAAACATACTTAGTATTTACGGAAGGACCTTTTTAACCATTATTCGCATTTTTCCTAGCTTTCTTTGCTTCGTAAAATAAGAGCGTAAAACAACAAAAATGGTTTGTTGCCCCCAAAAAGAATACCTTTTACTGAACTAACTGAGTTGAGTAAATAACATCAACATTAGCTAGAAGTCTCTTTCGTCACGAAAATTAATGATCATTCCAAGCAATCGAAAAGGAGTCCTTGTCGTTTTATGAGTTTCTCTCCGCTATACATTAATCAGGTGTCTAATAGATTAAGTTTCTACATTCAAATGATTTGCCGATCTTCCGTAAGTAAAAACAAATTGCTTTGATAATCAGTAGAAATCTGTAGAAATGTACAGGTGTCGGGGAAATGTGGGGGTCAAACAAAATATTTTCGCTAACAGTATCAGAAGTAATTCTTTAATACAAAATATCTGCCCTGGTGCTCGTAGCCTAAATACCTTCAACTGTACAACGAACCACATTCGCATAGTTTCGCGAAATGCAGCTGTGCAAGTGTTATGTAAGTGTGATTGTTCCGTATATTTGAATAATGCCAGTAAATTAAATTCAATTAATTATACGGGAAATAAAATATAACACGAGTACACAAAAATGTGTAGCGAAAATATTTTCAGTGCAAAACATCATCAACAGCGAAAACAAAAACAAATTAATTAAAGCTTATAATCGATAAGTATTTTTTGAAAAACAAACATTTCCGCATTATCGCGCACAGAGAGCAAGAAAATCATTTTTCATTTTTATTTTTTACATTTACCCACTGTTTAATCATAAAAAATATTTTAAGGAAGAAAACAAAATGCAAAATAGTAAAAAATAATTTTTAAATAAAATATGTTTTTTATGCTTTCATTATTACAGAAAAAACAAATATTTTTAAATTGCATTCAAAGGTTTTTCAATTCTCTTCTTTTTTTGTTTTTTTTTGTTTCTTTTTAAATTGCCAAGCAAAAAAAAAAAAGAAAAATTACAATTTATTATAATTTTTTCTTCTTCTTCTTCTACTTATTACGAAGATCATTATTAGTTATAGAAACAAAGCATTAGCGTGTTGAGTGTGGCTGTGGGTTAAAGAGAGATAACAGTATACATATAAGCATATGGTGAAACGAGAGCATGTATACAAAACATAAAAATCAAAACAAATATAAAGAGTAAACAAATAAAAAAAACGAATTATTGAAAGAGAGGGCAAGAGTATGGATTAGGCAAAAAAAAATCGAGCGCTTTCTCTTCTTTCTGTTATCGTCAGCTTTATGGAATACGATGGTTATGAAAAATGATCAGAAGAAGAAAACATAGATTAAATGATTATTTATCTAAATTAAAACAGTCAACGCACCAAACAAAAACAGGCACAAACAGACACACTAAATTGTAACACGTGAGGAATAATATAATCATAATATATTCAAGGTAACAAAAAAAATAAATAAATAAATAAGAAATGCTATAAAGAGATTAAACGATAGATAGTAAGAGAAATATATGCAGAGAGCATGCAGAGCATTTTTCGTTTTCCTCTTTTTTTTTTTTTAAAGGAAATGTCAAAGTACATTACTAAAGTATGACCATTTTATTCATATGTTATTTAGATACATTTTGATGCGATCTTAATTATAACAACTTGATGGTTTTTGAATTCAGGACTTACTTTTTTGTTGATATCTTTGCTTACTTAGCAGAAAGAAGAAAGACGCGCACTTTCTGACAACGTATTTCAATTTATTTATGGTAGAAAGTATTAATGTACTATGGAATCTATAAATTTTTCCGGTAAAATGTTGATCTCTTCCAACTTGAACACTTCCATTTATTTACTTTTATTATTTATACATATATTATTAACACAAGATATTTCTCCTTCTTCACAAAGCCGCTTATAAAACAATTCTTTTTTTTTTGCTTCTTTTTACGATTTTAAAAATAAAATAATTACATACAGTTTCTTCATTCAGAGACGTACGACTCTTCAATAGAAAATATAAACATTCATTGCCTTCAAAATCTATCTATATGGTCTCAATTCAATTGAACACTAAAACAAGAAAATAAAAAACAATTTTTTTTTTTTTTACATTTCAAAACGCGCCTTGCCTTTCATTCGCTTTCATAACACACACAACACACAAAACAAAACGAATAAACGGATGAAAAAATTGCTTTGCGACTACATCCGTCATTCCGTCATGACAAACACATTGACTTTTTTGACTGAAATTATTAAAAATACAAATCGAAACATTTTTTCGTTTTTTTTTGTAGTCGGCTTTATTTCTCACAGCAGAGCAAAATTTTACTCACTTACTCTCAAAAAGTCATAAACGAGTTTCGTAAGAACATAAAGCAAAGTAAATTTTACTCTCAGAAAAGTCAAAAAACACCTTTCATAAGAATGCATAGCAAAGTAAATTTTACTCTCAGAAAATTAAATTACTATAGAGCGAACAGAGCGAATGAAAACGCACTGAAATTGTGTTCTGCTTCTCTGCTAAGTAATTCGACGCTCAATTCATGTGTAACATGTTAGCACCGGTGCATGTATTTGTTTTATTTACACATCCCTCTGCTTTCTTTCATATTAAAAGAGTGCATGTTTGCAAAAAGAGTCGTATAAATGTTCAAATACACTCAGAGAGGCAAAACACCATTTACAGAATGCTTACAGTGTACTGAAATGTTCAAATGTTCAAATCTTGCTGAAATGTTATTTTCAATAACAGTATTCAATAAATTTATTCAAAAACAAATAATTTAGAAAACAATAGAGTTTTTTAAGAAGACAATATTTTTATAAACTAGATAAACTTTATTGTGTAAAGTACAAATAAATTTCAGAAAAATTGAACAAACTGAACAAACATCGACACATTCCATCTAAGATTTAACAGAAACACCATAAAAGTTTGTCACGGTTACTATAAGGCAATTGCATAAAATTTACAAAGCAAACGAATTTTTTCGTGAAACATGGTTATTAGAAAGAAAAAAAAGAAGTAATAATAATAATAAATTTTTAAGAAAAATACTTGCTGTTTTTGTAAAATGCCAGATATAAAGTTAATCATTTCCCTAAATTTGATTTTTTTTTATCTACATATTTTTATTACAAATGACAAGAGAATAAATTATTGCCGTTTTTTTTATATATACTGATGACAGCTTGTAAAGCACCGCACCTTACAGCGTTTAAATATCAACATCTAAGTTATCGGTACCTGAGATTTCGGGAAAATTGAAACCGTCAGGTACGTTTTATGAGGCGACCAATTTTGACGAAACGAATTTATTTTTACACTTAATATACATCCCATTGAAACGCATTGTATCTTTTTTTTTTTATAAACGGTTCATTTATTTTCACTTTATTTATATGCTTTATTCACTTTATTTACTACTACTGTTATTTTTGTTGTTAAATTGCTAAATTGTTTGTTTGTTTGTATAGAATTTCAACGGATGTTTTTTATTGATTAGCAGAGAATTTGGAACAAATTGGGGACTTTTACCGACGGCTCCGTAAATTAGCATAGAGTATTAATATATAACTTGCAAAATTATTATTATTATTATTAAATTATTATTATTATTATATTGTTATTATATTTGCGTTATTCGCCTTTATTGCCTTGCCGCACTTTATTTAAGCCAATTTTCTCACATTCCATTCAATCATCTATGGCATCTCTTCTATTAAAAGAGAAAGGAACGCTGTTATTCAGCTTCTCAAAAAAAATTATTACCTTAATTTTTCGATATTTCATCAATTTTTTTGTTCTCCTTTGATTTTTATTTTATTACATTAGATTTGTTATAACTTTTATTCCATTTCCGTGCTTACACGAAACGTTACTTTTAAATGTGGATTTAAAAAATAATTTAAAAAATGTTACTTCGTCTTTGCGTTATATTCGTTAGTGACTTTAAAGAGGAAGACGAACGTTATAAAAGTTTGAAAGCGATTGCTTCGTGCTTTCTATGCATATTAGCAAATACAACAACCTTTGCGAATATTTTAATTATCGATTTTTTATTAAATCGACAATCGAAATCGTATCATTGACAGCTAATTAAATGAGACCTTACATTATGTCTATATATCATAGAGCCGACTAAAGATCACAGCCATGAAAGACATCCAAGTTCGATGAAATTTTCTGCTTATATCCATCACCAAACGATGAGGGATATATTCATTTTCACAATGTCCAAAAGCAAGCATCAGCGATTCCACAAAAAATATATATTCTTGATCAGCATATAAGTATATCCGTCTCTGTGCCTGTCCGTCTGTGATATATTTGTTACAAGTATTCTGCTGGCCCCAAAAGAGGGAGATTTTTTCAATTTTGAATCTCTAGCCACCAATTAATTTCCTTACTCCCAAAGAACTATTTCATTATATTTAGGGGCAAAAGAGAAATCAAAGGAACAAAAGAAATATATTGCTTAGCTTAAGAGAAAATTGAAAGAATTTTTTGAAAATTTCTTCTAATATATCGGAATACGATAATGTCGTTAGCGTTATTACTCCCTTGTTTATATCTCTGACGAGAATAAGAAGAAGCGTTAATTTGTAAACATTTTTTCAATTTAGTTTTTTCACTTTTCTTTTTTTCGTGTTAATTGTCTATTAAAAAATTTGTGTTTAATCTTTGTCTTTAACTTAAATTTGTATAACTGTATTTTGCATTTAAATAAAACATTTTTTTGTTTCTGTATTGAGATATCTGTAAGCGTAAAATTTGTCTATAAAGCGCGAGCGTTTTTGGCACAAAAAAAAATTGACAGATAATTGGAACGCCAAATGTCATTGCATATACCATAAAAAAAAAAGAAAAAAAAATGACTGCAACGAAAAACGAAAGTACCGAGACCTGTTGGCATCAAATGAAAGCGGATGGCGCTAAATTGCAATCCCTCTTGGAAGACCCTTTGCCCGCGAATGATACTTCACGTTTACGCGCTGATGAACTCTTCTTAGGTTTTGATAACACTACGGGAGATACATGGATTTATCCCAGTAATATGCCATGTCGTTCGTATCAATTGAGTATGACGCAAGCAGCGCTTTATCGTAATACTTTGATAGTATTGCCAACAGGGCTAGGTAAAACATTTATAGCTGCTGTGGTCATGTACAATCTATATCGTTGGTATCCAAGAGGCAAAGTGATATTTATGGCTCCTACGAGACCGTTAGTCAATCAACAAATTGAGGCTTGCAAAAATATAATGCCTTTTCCTCCTCAGGATACCGTTGAATTAACCGGGAAGCTGGCCAAACCGAAACGCACGGAATTATGGCAAAGCAAACGAGTATTCTTCGTTACACCACAAGTAGTGCAATCCGATATGTTTGGTGATATGCATAGAGATAGTTCAGCTGCCCTTAGCTTAGGACAGGAGAGTAATTTTCCTTTTAAGGATATCAAATTAGTAGTTGTGGACGAGGCGCATAAGGCAAAAGGCCGTTATGCATATACTGAGGTCGTCCAGGCCATTGCCCGGCAAACGAAATGCTTCCGTGTATTAGCCTTATCAGCGACCCCCGGCAGAACGCAAGACGATGTGGCAGAAGTGTGCCGGAATCTTCTGATAAGTCATTTAGAAGTACGTTGGGACAATTCGATCGATGTGTCACCTTATGTACACAAGCGACATATGCAAACTGTGGTAGTGAGTTTAGGCGAACAAATACAAGAAATACGCGAGAATTTACTACTGATCATTGATCCTTACTTAAGGCAGCTGATTGAAGCTGAAGTTTTGTCGGGACATAAAGAAAACATTAATCGTAACTTCTTACTCTACGAGCAAAAAAGATTTCGTGAACGTTCCTTACGGCATGGTAATCATCCCCTGCACGCAACAGTAAATAGCAACTTTTCGACATGCATTAGTTTATATCACGCTTTGGAATTGTTGGAACGCCATGGACTACGAGTTTTCTTAAATAATTTCGAAGAAGACGAAGATGGTAATGCTAAGTATGTTTTGCAAATGGATTTTCGTCTAAAATCCTTAATACAAAAAATTAAACAACAAGTTGGACCCAATCCGTTTGAGGTATCTGCGGGAGTAATGACTAATGGACAAATCGCCGAAATGCCTAAAGATTTAGATTTCGGTCATCCTAAGTTCGAAAAGGCTCGCGAATGTTTATTGAAGCATTTTCAGGTTATTATAAAAAAGTATTCAATAATTCCGTATATTTTTGTACCCATCACCAAAGGATGAGGGAGTATATTCATTTTGTCAGAACATCGCAACGGCCAGAAAGTATTTTTAGAGACCCCATACAAAGCATCCTTGATCAGCATCAATGCATGTCCATCTGCCTGTCTGTTGTAAACGTTGCCCTGACCGCAAAAATAAAGCTATCGTCTTCAAACTTGGCAAAAATATCGGAAGTGCTCGCACGCAGGTTGGTACTTGGAAAATGAACCAAATCGGTGGAAGGGCACGCCAACGGTGCCACATAAACTGGGAACACCTCTGTTTTTCAACAGGGAAAAAATTTGATTTTATTGCTCATCACTATAAAGTATAGCAGATAAATTCGAGGGTATAGTTTATGGGCGATGCTGTAGCATCTGTACAACAATGGGAAAATTTGACCACGCCTACCCCAATTGTAGTGTATCAAAATGTAATTGTTTTTCAATACCTTTGTAAAGCGCAGAAGCAAGCTTTGAAAACCCCATAAAGTACATAAATTCTTGGCCAGTTTCAAATTTGGAACGCACCTAACCATATCCGTCTGGCTGTCTGCGCGACAGTGTAGCATTTGGTGTAGTATTTGTGGTAAACATTTTCCCGTTAACGATAATGAAGGCATTGCCTACAAATTTGCAAAAGCTTTTATTTTGAAAAAAGAGAAAACCACTCCATACTATAGAAGATGAAGATGTAGTCCTTTTACTTTTATTCTCTTTTTTAGGATAACTGTGCTGATGGGTATAAAAGATTCGGTCAGGACCGAAAATAATTTTCTTATTTGTTAATATTTAAATTCTATTTGGCTTATTTATTTAGGAGCAGGAAAATTCTCGGGCCATGGTCTTCTGTGAGTACCGCGAGTCCGTCCTGCTGATCTATCGCATGCTATTGCAAGAGAAGCCTTTACTTAAGCCGCGATGTTTTGTTGGTTAGTCTTAGTTTTGCTTCATTAAATTTTGAAATTAATTCGTTCTCTTTCATAGGTCAGGGCGGTTCTTCCGGTGGGTTACGTGCTTTTACTCAAAAACAGCAAATACAAATAATGAACGATTTCCGTTCGGGAAAGAGTAACATATTAATTGCTACTTCCATTGGGGAGGAAGGCATCGACGTGGGCGAAGTTGACTTAATAATATGTTTTGACATCAGTTCAGCTAATCCAACGCGCTTTATACAACGTATTGGTCGGACAGGAAGACAAAGGAATGGTAAAGTTGTGATGTTAGTTACCGAAGGAAGAGAGCAAAAGTTGCTCAAGGATGTAATGGCGACTAAAGATCAGCTTAATAAAAAGTTGCTGCGCTCTCAAATAGTGAAACAATCGCTCTATCAACATAGCCAACGTTTGGTGCCGCCAGAATTTACGCCAACGTGCGTACGCAGTTTTATAAAACCCATAGAGAAAGAATTAAAGGAGGTTAAGGTAAAGAAAACAAAGACAACGCCAAACGCCAAAGGGAAAGTTAATCAAGATCTACGTAAATATTTCAATTCAAAAACATGTGAGGAAGATAAGGCTATGGAATTTTTCCAACTTGATCCTACACCGAAGGAAACCAAGCCAGGTTCTTACACGCAACAATGTATGCAGAAAAAATACGAACGAATTAAAGACCTGTTTAAAGATTTCGAAGGCGCGCTTACGACAAATGCCAGGAAATGTGAGGAAATGGCAGAAAGCCAAGTAAAAAATATTGGTGTAGATCCCAAACACACCAGCAAGATTAATAAGTTCTTGAAAATAAAACAAACCAGTCGAGGAGTTTTACTTAGAGCTGAAATAACGGACTTGGCCCAACATCTGAAGTCTCCTGAGATGTCCAATGAAATGAAGATAGCATTATTAGAACTTAATCCGAAATTTATTGAGCAAAACTTGGAAAATATGAAAATTTTGAACGCTCTCGGCGTTGAAAACGAAGAGGATGTATCTCCTGAAGAAAAATCCGTGCGTGAAATAAATGAAATAATTCTTAATCTTTTAGGAGGCGACAGTAAAAGCGTTGAAAATTTCTTATATGACTTGGAGTTGAAAGAAATTAGGGAACAATGTACGAAAGAAGACATGAAAAAGTTCAAGCAAAAGATAGACCGAATTCTGAAACCTTTCGATAATCAAGGTCTATGTTGTGATAACTACGACTACTTAATGGCAGAATTTCGAAAAACTTCACGCTATCAAGAGCTTCTCGAGCAAAAAAATTCTGATATTATTAAGGGACAATCTTTAGCCTATGATACTGTCATGTTTATGGACGAAACAACAGAGAACAGTTTGGAATATTCTCCTTCAAATTCGAAGTATTGCAAACAATGGTCAGAACACATAAAAAGTGAATCAACACCATTGTCAAAAGAAAAACCTATTCAAAGCTATTTTATTCATCAAACAAATAGCAAAAAAGAGACGCGTCTACCCATAGAGCAAGCAAAGCAAAATAAAGGAATCAAAAATGGTTCTCAAGAAAAACTAAGCCTTTCACCCATTCTTGCTCCCAAGCGGACTGCAAATGTCTCCTCTTTACCTTCCGTTAGCAGAAATTACGAATTCATTGATAATAGTGTTCCACAATGTAATGATAACGATGTCTCCGCTGCTTCAAGCAAGGCAACAAAAAATTCCTTCCATCAAGAACTGGATATGGACCTAGAAGCTTTTCTATACCCTTTTCAATCCATAGAGCAAACAACGGAGAGTAAAGCCGCCAAGAATGATATAAAAGGCAATGAATTTACAAAAACACAATCGAAGCCATCCAAGGAGGCAGCAGAGGTCTATTCTTTACCTTCCGATAGATGTGCCTTTATTGATAATAGTATTCCCCAATGGAATGCTGCCTCAATAGAGGCTTCAAAAATATCTTTACAGCAAGAACTGAATGTGGATTTGGAAGCTTTTCTTGACCCTTTTCAATCCATAGAGCACCCAAAACAAAGTAAAGCAAGCAAAAGTGATATAAAAAGCAATGAATTTACAAAAATACAACTGAAGCAAGCGTTTACTAATTCTCAAGAAAAACGAAATCTTTCACCCATCGCTGCTCCCAAGGAGGCTGCAAATGATTACAACTCATCTTCCGATGGGACAAATTGCGAATTTATTGATAATACTATTCCCCAACGTCATGATATCTCTGCTGTTTCAAGCGATGCGACGCAAGTTTCTTTGCAACAAGAGCTGGATGTAGATTTAGAAGCATTTCTAGAACCTTTTCCAGAAGAGGAACTGCTTTTGCAGAAGCAACTGTCAAAAAAAGAAATTGCCTCACCTTCCCATTGTGATAGTTTAAAAAAACCCGACAACCAATCTCCTGATCTCTTTTCTCTGTCAAGCAGTGCTAATAGCCCTGGCGGCAAAATTCAACGAAGCACTCCGCAAAGAATCTTAAAAGCATTGCAGGGATTAACTCCAATCAATTCGCCGCCGCGTTCTACTAACACCAAACAAATGGAAAAAATTGAAAAGTCCCCCAGCTTATTTGAGATGTACTTAAAGAGCACACGCGGTAAAGGCAAAATACGTTTACACGAATCCCCTCGTCCTTCAATTGCGGCCATAGGCAAAGATACTTCCGTAATCCGAATACCTCAGAACAGAGAGAGAGCACTTTCTAAACGTAAGATTTTCGATAGCGATGAAGAAGTTCCTACGCGTAAGGAATTAACTGCAATAGACTGTAGGAGTAATGATGACACCGAAAGCGATTTGGAAGAAATACCAGCGACACAAATGGTTAGATTTTTTTAAAAATGATTTGAAAATTTCTTGTTCAACTCGTTTCTATTTCAGCCCCGGAGAAATCGCCGGCGTTTCAACTGTTTTATCATGGCTGAAGCAGCTGTTAGCGGCCCGGAAACAAGCCAAGATGAAGACGAAAGTGCAACCGATCGCTACGTCCTGGACTCCATGATAGTAGCGAGCGACGAGGAGAACGAAAATGCTCACTCGAGTACTCATACCAAGGCCATGTATTTGCGGTCTTTGAAGTAAGTCACACCTTTATGTCCCTCTTTCCATGAGAACTGTCTATAGATTATGAAGTGCGTTGATGAGCAGTCAGCAGATAGGCGAGTCGGTAGAGTATGGCTTAATATCCCAATCTACTCGGTTAAATAAGACTAATTCATAACATGAATTCCAAACAAGCAGAAAGGGATAGTGGATGATAGGCGGAAAATTTTTACCCAACTATTTAATAAAATCGATTACCATCAACTTAAATTTGGTGGTTAAACTAATCGATCGAAAGCATTTAGTTTGTCATTATTTGATTAGAAAGATAAAGGTAGTCAAATAATCCGAATAGCTGACGGCGAAATCAATAATTGTTGCTTCGCACTCTTTAAAAGCCTAAACAGTTGACTAAACGTAATTCAAGTGCCGAGAAAAAATGTTCCCTTGTAAACAGAGGAGCAGTCTTCACCATTTCGGATTAGCAAGGGAATAGAACATTGAATTGTCCGTACATAGTACATTTTACGGTCCATTTTTTATTTTGAGTGTTACTTCCGAAAAGAATTATAACGCACTTAATATTTTTACTTTTCGATTTTTATTTAAAGGAGTCCCATACGGCAGCAGGGAGCCTTTAAAATTCCTGCGCCCCGTGTTTATGACGACGATACGTCCATATTCTCTCAACCTTTAAGTCAAACTTGTTCCCAATACATAAGTGACTCTTTCGTAGTGGATGACGATCTAGCCGCGGAGACGAGTGATCAAACGTTATGTCCTTTAGAGAAAGCTGAAAAGCTATTAGAAGCAAAACGTCGTAAAGGTAAAAGAAAATACGCAACAGTAGTTGATATCAACCCTGTGCCGAAGAAACGTAGAATTCGTACATATGTCATCGATGATAATACCTCAGAGGAGGAAGTGTAAATATGTTAATAAATATATTTGTTGTAAACTATTTTTATTAAGTGATTGTATATGAAAAAGAAAAAAAGCAAGAAAAAGATTTATTGAAAAAGCAAATGAGATTGTGAGGTGTAAGCAAAGCGTTATCTTTAAATTGCTTACTATTTAAGTTACACTAATTAATTACGCGTATCCTACGTTGTATTCCCTTGAGATGGGCTTAAATGTCGTATTGAAGCGATGTTTATATAAATCTCTTGGTTGTATATACACCTCTTTGAAATCTTCGCTAAGATCACTCGGAACTCCATGTATAATGCTACGACTATCACCGTTCATACATGCCCTTAACTCCACCTCCGGTTCATAGATATTTTCTACTAGCATCTGACGTGATTTGGCTCTTGCACGCATCTCGAGAAAGTTGTTCATTTTCATCTGCTTGCTTGACACCCTTGTACAGGCCAATATTATGCTCAGCAATACGCAAAACTCCACGATTGCCACGATTAAACTGCCCGCTAGAAAAGTACCAAATTGTTCCCGATACCAGTTATCTAAATAATCAAGACACGGTGCGGTGAACCGATATTGCGTATAATCCTGTTTTTGCACAGATTGACACATTGTCTCATTCACGGGTTTCGGATCCAAGTACGCTAGATTATCCAAAGGATTTTGCAACACACAACAACTCAGAGGTATCAACCATTCCCTTTGACCATAGGATTGCATTTTCCACATAGATGTGTCGTAGTTAATGTCACTGTTCATACCACAACAGCCGAACGTTGTCTGAGCTAAATCCATAGCTACGGTAAATTGCTCTTTACCCGAAACACCATAATTACCCTGTAATGCTTTCACCATTTTCGCTTCATCCAAACTTATGCCCAGACAATGAGGCCACAGACTTACGGCTAAACAAATCACAGACTCGGCAAGCAACAAAATCACCACAGTCAGAAAGTAGAAGCTTAGGCAGCAATAGGTGCTAAGACATGCAGCCCAGAAACCACTCATGGCTGCTAAAATGGCCATAAGTCCTGCCACCGCTAAACCAATGGATATATAATAGAATAGTGGTTGCGGTAAATCATTTAAATGATCACTTGTGGCAGCCAATAATTTCGAAAGTAGTATACGTTTGCTATCGCTGAATAGATAAAACCCGGATACAATTAGCGAAGTCCCGCAAAGCTGAAAAGAAAAGATAAGAAAAAAAAATTAAAATTGGAATAAACAGCTTCTCATTCGCGACTTCGATATTCAGATTTAAATTATCGCATAGTTAAATAGCAGTTTCACTACTACAAGTCAATAATATATGTACAAATATGTATATCTACTCTGATCCCCACTACCGAAATTTAATTCTGGATGGTCAAAAGCCGAAGGGAAAAGGCCTATTCGTGGCATAACCACCATAGCTATCGGTGAGAAGAATGAACCAAACCCCAATACAAAAGAAAACACAGTTTCCACATAACGGCGACACTTGAAACCAAACGTTGCCTCTCCACTCTCCCGATGCCAAGCACTATTCTTCCACAGATACACTTTGTTCCGATGTGTTGCCCGTAATGGCTGTAGTATTTTCACCACAGTTTTCGCTTATTCGATATATCCGGGTTTAACTCCCGGTGCGCCTGTTCAGCCTACATATAGATAAAAAATATATGTACCTCTATATATATATATATACTCTGATCCCCACTAGCGAAATTTAATGCACCAGAATGTGAAAATTGAAAAAAAAAAAAAACATTACATAACCTCAAAATAACTGAAGGTAAGATAAGAATCTGTCAATAAAGAAGTTTGTGTGATTATGTGTGTCATGTTGAAGTTCGTAATGAATTAAAAACCTTCGTCCATTTAAAATAAATCATTAAACCGTAGCTTAATAGTCGGGAGAATATATATTATAATACGTCAGTAATTACAAATGACCTTTAAGATCAGTTACTTAAAAACAGTTAATTGAAATAGAATTTCGAATCTTCTAAAAAGACTTAAGCATGACTTTAGATAATGGTTTCATTACATATTAAAGTAAAATTAATTCTTTTTTTTCTACTCAATATATTGAAAAATGTTACACATCCACGTGATTCATGTGATTTTGAAAACTGAAGAGAGAAATTTCTAATTTGAAATCAATTTTCCACCTCACACAATCGTGAAAGAAATATCATGATGTTTCCCCCTGCTTTTGCTTCCTTTCGTAAGCGGGATGGAAAATTAATCTCTCTAGTTTGCTGTTCTACTACTTTTTGTACACGCGTGCGCCACGGAAGGATAACAGTATGTAGGGGTATCGCGTATGTTTTTTCCCCACCCCATGATATATATGACGTCGAAAAGGTTATGTTTGTAAACAGGTAGGCTTAACTTTTGGTCGTTTATGGCATCGATTTGAGACATCTCACAGCTCTTTCAAAGTGCGTTTCGTTGGTGGCAAAGCCTGTTTTAAAATCTTTTTCTATGCCACTCAACATTGATGGCTAAACGAAGCATTTAGTGCAGACGAGATTTGTACCATTTATAGGAGTAGTACTACGACCACTAGAACCGTACGCAGTTGGTTTAGAGCTAACAATTTTGATTTGCAAGATTCAGATCGCAGCATGTGGATGGAAAGACGAACAGACGGACATGTTTGGGTGCACTCCAAATTTAGAAGTGGCCAAGCATTTATATATTTTATGTGTTGTTTCAAATTTTGAAGTAAATTTTTAAAGCACTATTGTATTGGTTAGTAGCGGTCAAATTTTTTCATTTTTGCACATCATCGCCCATAGAATATGATTTCACATTTTTGCACATTTATGTTGCAGTTTATGAATAACGAGCAAGAAACCCATTTTTTATTCCTTTCGAAAAACAAAGGTGTCCTGAGTTTACGTGGTGCTGTGGACATATCCTTCAGGCGAGGTGTTTCATTTTCGATACCAAAATTCTTCTTCAAGAACTTTTAATGTTTCTGCCAAATTTGCAGGTGATAGCTTTATTTTTGCGGCCAGGAGAATGTGCAACACTCGTTACACAGACGGACAGACACGCAGGCGGGCAATCGATTTAGAATCTGGTATTGATCAGGGATATAAATATTTTGTGCGTTCTCTGATACTTCTTCTTCGGCGTTGCAAACGTTTTGACAAAATGAGTATACCCCTAATCCTTCGGTCATGAGTATAAAAAGAATTATGACTCGCTTTAAGCAAACAAGTTTAAAGTATATAATTCAATACTAGCAAAATGTAATCACTAAGACATTTTCACCCAAAATAGATTACAAATTTTTCCAATGGCAAAGTAAAATGTCCTGTTAAGTAATCGCCACGCCCATATTTAGCAAAAATTTTCGCAAATACGCGGTATCGATTTGAAACAGTGTTTCTCATTGGTTTTATTCTTTTCATTCAATATCGGAAGAAGGAGAAGTTGTTTTCGGTAAAAGCGAAGCTAAAAACTTGAGATATTCAAGTCGAGATCGACAATTTAATTCTTGAAGAGATATATAACACTTTTTATGTCAATATTTATTTTTCAAAATATATGAAGAATACGCGCACCGTTCGTTACAACAAATTTCGAGCCTAGCTCTAAGCATGATGACAGGCAGCTCTTAAAATTTGGATGTTCGTCTATGTGAATTTGTATTAGAATCAGTCAAAGCTCTCCTACAATAGCGAACCAAGCAAAAAAAAAAAAATGAAATTATTTTTTGATCAACGAAGCATAAATAAATTTTTTTGTATAATTAATGCCAAAGAATAAATAAATAAAACAAATAAACTGAAAGTTTAAGCATAATATAGAGTAAAATTATTATTATTTTATTAAATAAAAATTTCACTTTTTTATGCAGAGAATTTTTCTTTGCTCTTACCAGAAATAAAAAATTACAACAATTTAATAAAAGTCTATGATTACAACAACGCGGAGTCATACTGTTGATAAATAATCTAAGAAACGAAGATCCCAAGTATATTTTTATCTTTAAGTAAGCAATTTTGTATTTTATTGCAAGATAAGAACATACGCACACGCACTCGATATGAAGGCATAAGATTATCTCAGAGTATGGTAAGTTTCCGAATACTATCATACATTACATGGATATTCTATCATTTTTTTTTTTTTTTTTTTTGTTTTTATTTCTTTTTTTATCTCATTAAATATAATATTTAAATTTTTAATATAAAAATTTATATTTGCGTTCTTTCGTTTTTACTTTGCACTGTGCAAGCCGTTACCATCCGTTACATTAGACTTCCACGACAGATTTACAAAACTAAAGCGAGGCTTGTATTACAACAATTGAAATTTTCAAAGCACTTACCACAGACGAAACGAAATAATGAGATGGTCCGACATTTTGCTTAAAATTCAAACTAAGAGATTAATACGGACGTCTTGTATTTCTGTTATTCTATAAGCAAAAGTCGTAACATTGACAGTTAGCTCTTTCAGTCTCATTGTACGGAGACGAAACGAAATAGTGAGATGGTCCGACATTTTGCTTAAAATTCAAACTAAGAGATTATTACGGACTTCTTTTACTTCTGTAACTGTAGTAAAGCTGTTAATTAGTAGCCATTGCTTGCATGGGGAAATAACATAAGTTACATTTAATAATGATCCGCCTGAGTGGCCTAGTAGGCAAGAGTCTCGACCATCAACTCAATGGTCGTGGGTTCAAATCCCAAGTACGGTAGAGTTTTTAATAAAGTCGAAAGCCTTAGATACTAGTGCTTTAAGACTTTAGCCTTGGAATTTATTCTCTGGCTAAATTTATATTAATAATAATAATAATAATAATAAATTTAATAAACTTTTCCTTTGTTAGATGAATTGAATTTGGAATATACTAACGCTACGGACATTCTGAAGTCACTTACTGAGCGCAAAATATATTTTTTTATTAAGACTACCACAGACTCAATATCTAATTTTCTCTTCTCTTACAGAGCTAATAGCATGTGTGCCTACTGCCCAAAGTTTTTTTTTTAGTCTAAGGATTTATTTCATTAGACTAAAAAATTATAATAATAATAATAAAAGTAATGAAGAATTTCCTCATATTTCTTGAGATGAATGATTCATGATTTAAACTTGTCGAATTGTTTGCCGAACATAAAATTTAGAATTCTTCAATGTGAAATACACGATAAGAAGAAAAAATATATCTTTTACATGCATACATATACGAATTGGTTTTTTTTGGTACATAGCATAGCGCATATTCATTTAGAAACACAGAATTCTGTAAATATTTGAGAGAATGCGACGTCATCAAGCAGAATCTTTGCTCATATACATAATAAGAAAAAAACGAGGAAGCATTAAGAGCATTACTTACTGTTATTCTTAACAGAATTAACAGAAAGAGAAAGTCTGTAATAATCTTCTAGTTTGATTATTCAACAAAAGTGACGGACCATCTTATTATTTCGTTTTGTCTGCAGTTACTTTCAGCTCTATATAAACCGACAAAGGAAGAGAGAGAGAGAGAGAGAGAGAGAGAGAGAGAGAGAGAGACTAAGTTAAGCCAAGATTAATGGGTATATAAAATTCTCTTTGAAAGAGAGATTATGTTGCACAAAAAAAATAAATAAATAAAGACTTCAATTAATAAACATAAACAAAACTTCTGAAAAACGATATATGCAGAGAAATTAAAATCTGTTTGTATATATATATATATAGAGGCAATAGAGAGGGAACTTGTACTGCCTGCACCAAAAACAAAAAATTTATGTTACTATTGTGTTGTTGCATGCACTCACTCATGAATGTAAACACAAAAAAAATTAAAAAAAAAAAAATTCAAATCGATTGATACGATTTGAAAAGTTAGTTATTTAAATAATTATATTATGGTAAGCAATAAAATCAAGCACTAAAACTGTGGATAATAAGTGTATTAGTAATTAAAATAATTTGTTTAATTAATTGTTATTGCTTATTATATATATATATATATATATATATATACAATATTACGAAAGCTTAGTGAATTTCAAAACAAAAAAAAAATTCTTGATGTTAGGGCAACAACTTCACTACTGTGTTTTTCTTTTACAATTTTCAGAGTCAATCGAACTTTTCTCTCCGTCCGGTATCCGGTATTAACCCATTTGTATGTAAATGACTGGTTTTGCTCTAAATTTCATGATTCATGATCAGTTAGTTTCTGTTTGTTTGTCTGTTGTTTAGCCCAGAAGAAGAAGAACCGAATCCATATAAAGTATATGCGCGTACAATTAGGGTCAAATATATCAATGTGTACCGCTACATGCTCTGTTACAATTATCATATATATATATATATGTATGTAGCTTTACTAAACATATTACGTTGTATATATTTTCTACATATATTGTACACACATGCGTGATGTGTACTCGGAAGTGATGTTGATGACTTTTAAATGGCTTGTAGAGTGCAGTTTGTGTACAAGTAGGTGGAGAAATACACACACACACAACATAGTTAAATAGTAAATATTAGAGAAGAGCTCCAGCTAGTATTACAGCAAAAGATATAATTATTTTCTAGTTTACTTTTATTATAATTCTTAGTTTGCCTCATAACCGATTTTAAGAACTGGTACTCTCTTAAAACAGAATTAAACTCGATTAATGCCTAAAACACAAACAACCTTTAGCACCGATAGACGTATGTGCGAAGGTGTACTATGAGCAATAACACACGGGATGAACTTGCCAGCAATAGCTGTTATATATTTTTATGTAATAGTGTAGCTTATAGCGGGGATGAGATAATGTGTCGCATTAAAAAGTGAGACGAAAATGTCACCTTTGTAATCATGAGATCAAGCAATCCTTCTTTCAAAGTAACACTAATGACATTTTTGCCGCGCAATAGTTTTATCCCAATGAATAAGTAACTATATGCACAATTACTACTGATCAACATCGCCAAATAGCCGATCTAATCTGGCTAAAGCTCCTCTGAGAGTCTTACGTAGATTGAAGAACATTTACTCTTTATTCGGTCTCTAACGAATATTATTAGGCCTAGTACTCTCTTTGGTGGTGGATACAAAAAAGTTAAGTAATCAATCTTCTCGATTTTTGGAAGGACCCATAGATGGATTTGGATTTTCTTCTGTTGTTCGTATTTCACGCTGATCAAAATCATTGATTCTCTGCTTTCGAAAATGCGACTGTCGGCGAATGTCGTTTCTAAAATGAACTCCAAATGCATTCAGAAATCCACATAGTGTTGTCCTTAAATCCGAGTACATATTAGGTCGAATGATAAGTAACTTCCGTTTTTTCTATTAGACATTTATTTTGTTTTCATTGAATAACAAAATTATGTTAACTTAACAGTTGATTGTGAGGTATTCAGCCTTTTTGCTATACCTCTTATTGATTGGCGCGGATCTTGCTTCAATATTGTCTTTAAAAGCTTGTCGTCAAAGTCGAAAAGACGTCCGGTCTTTTTAGGTGGTATCTCCAGAAAGGAATTTTACAAACCAAGTGCTAACTGGCCGATCTGTTGTTGTCAGTCCTTCACAGTGTACACTGCATATTTTTTCAGCTGTCAACTTTGCGCTATTGTCCTGTTTTCATTCCCAAAGCGTCAAATAAGCACTTGTTGACTCTCCATTTCAGAGCTTAAGAAAACCAGTTGACAGAAGGCTAATTGAATCCTCATCCAAAACAAAAACTCGTTTTGTTTCGGACACTTATAGTGGGTAAATACGGACAGTGGATTCGACCTAGCTGCGGGAGAAGTTACTTACTTATGACTCGACCTAACACATTAAGTGAGAGGAAGAACCAAACCAAGCCAAACCTTGTTCAATCACTGCCAGCATAAAAATTCCATAAACAAGTTTCAATTCGATAAAATACAACTAATCGCCATATGACGTAAGACTCCGATATTCTAAATAACTCTTTGTAGGTTTTGAAAAAAAAAACTGTCTACAAACATATTTATAATTAAGTATTGCTTGTAAGCGCTGCTTTTATGGGTGTTTCTTAATTTTCTTGCAAATCACTCTGACGAAGTTACATTTCCATCCAATCCAATGTCATGGTTGTTAACATAGAAAATTGTTTAATTTCATTCAATTATTCAGCTTCACATGAATGTTGGTCAGCTTTTTTTTTTTTTTTTTTCGTTATAAACTATCCATTGGCCTTTACAGTAAAATCGAAAAAAAAAAAAACAACTTTTGAAAATCACTCAAGCTGAACATAAAACGATGCTCTTTCGCTTTTTCCAAGAGTGAATAGGTAAAATGTGTACGCTTTTCACCCAAAACACTTTCTAAGTCGCAATAAAGAAAACAATGAAAATAAAACACTTTGAATATCAATTAAATCCGTTACAAAAAGCACTTCAATGTAAATATTTTTATTTAATAATAACTAGGAAAGTAAAAAATTGTAAATAATAAACACTCAAAAATCCAGTGAAGAAGTTTTGGTTTGATTAACGCCACAGCTAATGGTAGGCTTTTTCGTATCATTAGAACTTTCCTGGATTTCTAAAAGAAAATTTTTCAAATTTATGTTTTATACAATATATACGAATTACTCCAAACTGTATTATTGCCTGCTTACCTGGTGGTAAATGCAATTTCTCTATAATGAAACGCTTACGTCGCAATTTAAAGGCCAGATCCAATGTTTCCGGTTTGTAAACATTTAACGCATTCAAGGCGGTCATTTTATGCAATTTAACCAAACCATTGTATTCTTTGTAGACCGGATTGGTTTCATCGGTATTGACAAATGATTCCAGCTCGATAGCATATTCCGCCAAATTGCGTATTTTGTTGGGAAGAGAGGGATTCTGAAAGGAATTCCAAATGCAGCAAGTAAGAAAGTTAATAATGTGTGCTCTATACAGTGTGTACACAATTCTTGATCAGCATCAAATTCTAAATGTCTGTCCGACTGCGTAATGCCTGTTGTAAACATTCTCTTGGCCACTATCTACTCTCAATTCGACAGAAACATTAGAAGTGCTTGCACGCAGGTTGATATTAAAAATGGGACAAATCGGTCGAAGAACATATCCACCGTGCCACGTAAACTGAAAACACCTTTGTTTTCTCAAAAGGAATAAAAAATTGGTTTTTCACTTATTACTTATGAACTATCTGATCTATAAGCGATTTTGTAGCACCTGTAGAAAAATAGAAAAAATTGACAAAGTATTTTCCTCAATGCCTTTATAACGCCCAGAGACATGCTTCAAAAACCCCTTAGCGTATAAAAATTCTTGTCCAGTTGCAAATTTGGAATACACATAATGATATCCGTCCGTACAATTGTTTGCGTGGCTGCGTAGTATTCGTCGCAAATAGTCTCCCGTTAACGAAGGTGAAAAAGTATTTGGAAATAACTTGAACTTCCCCAATGGACACGCCTAAGCGACAAAAACTTTTATTTTGAAAACCGAAAAACTCAGTCGCGCCCACTCCACATTAAAGAGCATGAAAATTTCTTTTGTTCTTTTACGTTGTTCTTCTTTTTTAGAGTAACGGTGATGGGTACAAAAAATCCCGTCACGAACGAATATCATTTTCTTACTTGAAATTCTGTCAACAGACAGGCAGCCTTTAAAAACTCTTAAAACACGTTCAATCATACCAGCACATACCAGTGGAAAAAACAAATATCTTTTTTTGCTTTCTTCGCTATATTTTACTTACATATTTGGCCACTAAATGCATAGGTATGGTTATAAGGCACACGGCAGCTGTGTTGTGAATGATAGCTCTTAAGATTGTAAGAAATTTCAAGAGATCCTGTTGAAAACGATCTTCATACCATAAAGGCGATGCCAATGATGATATACATAAGCGTAATAATTTCTTCCCTGGATTTTCTTCATCATATTTACGCATTTGGAATTTGGTTATGGTTTGTAATAGACGCTCGTATTTATTATTAGCAAACAAGTTACTGAACTGTTTGCAGGGACACTTGGTTTGCGTTTTTTTATCGCAAACTGATTCTGGATAATAGTTATCTTGATCAGTTTTTTCACTGGCACTTGATTCATTATTACTGCTGCTAGTGCTGTCCTGAGCATTATTACTGTCATCATTATTATCATCGGAATTATCCTGTTGCTGCAAATCGTACCAAGTTTTACAAGTTACTTGGGAAACATCCATATATTTCATTAGATTATAATGATGGCCTATTTTTGCATTTTTCTCTTTTGTATTTAACAACGGTAAATCATTATAACGCCAAGCTATGCGTAAATTATCCTCAACTTGACGTATTGTTGGCTCGAGTTCTTCTTTTTCAATCTCATTAAATTCTTGATCATCCTCATCTTTTATGGGTTGTGGTAACTGAGATAGTAAATCTTTCGGATCTTCATCCAAAGTTGCTAACAAAGACGTATGACCGGAAATTTCACCCTCGGCTATGAAATATTTGGTTAACACTTTAGAATACATAGCAAACTTTTCTTCGATTAAACAAATAGAACCCAAAGCCAAGCCACCACCTGAATATATAGATAAAAGAAAATTGTTAATTCCCCGTTTCTAGCGTTTCTTTTCGACTGTGTGATACCCAAAATAGAATCTAACCAAAGATTTCCGCTTGATGTTATTATTTGCCCGGTTTGCGGACTAATTCTTGTGTGAGGTATAAACCTTTCCAAATTTCTTTTACGAAAGCTAGACATTTTCCGTGTTTCTGTGTTAAATTTACAACTATAGACTTGGAGTAAAATTTGCTAAGAAAAATTCTATTCTGGCGTTGCCAGTTGAAAAAGCTGACTGAGCCGACTGAGTCAACTGATACAAACAATTCTCGTTAATGTGTCGCTCTCTCTCTCTCTCTTCCCCCCTTCTTTATATTAAAACATTGATATTATTTTTTGTGTTTTTCATTCGCACCGATTTGAATGCATGCACAACACACTTTTTGATTCTTCGTTTTTCTCATTAGTTCGTTTTGACTCATATTTCTTATATTTCGCTCATTCACTCATTTCATATAAAACAGCCCTGTATTATAACATATGAAACATATGATTCTTAAACATATGATTAAGCGACCAAAATTTTATTATTTTTGAATAAGCTTGCGATTCAAAGAATTTCAAAACAAAAACTAATTTTTGTAAATTTTATTATTTAATTTATAATTCGGAAAAGAGTAAAAATTAAAACATTTTATTCTTTCTTACATATCTTAGCCTTAATTTTTTATTTTTGTTACACTAATTGCGTAATGGTGGGTAAAAGCGAGTTTTTTGAGTTATATCAAACCACGAATGTAAAGCAAGTCAAATACATAATTTTCTCCCATTACAAATATAAGAACTAATACAATGAAACGATCTAGCACTAAAAATAAATTATTAATACAAAATACATAAAAATTGAATTTACTGACGCAACGTAACCTAGCAATAATTAGCAGTGAATTAAGGTGACCAGAATGTCATTTTCTAAACTTGGAACGATATACATACAGTTTTGAAAAGCAATCTTTTTACGGCAGCTTTTGCATTTCGACACTATACACTCGCAAATTAGATAATTTGGTCCGTTGTTTGTTTTGCCGACGGCTTTTGCTAATTTTTGTTAGATAATTTGGT